GGTGTATGTGGCTGGCGCCTTAGCCACTTGAGCCACAGGCGCCGAGCCCACAATTAGAATTTCTTTAGAGATTTTAAGCTAGAATTATTGAGCCAGAATGAAGACATGCATGAGACATTTGAGGAATTCATATTTATAGACCATATTCCATAAAGCAAAATTACTTTCTGATTGCTTTACTCTGAAGAAATGGTTTTTGGTTTTTTTGTTTTTTGTTTTTTTTTAATTAGTCAAGATCTTGCTCTATTTCCCAGATCTAGCCATCATTCTTTTTTTTTTTTTTTGAGACAGTCTCAAGCTGTTGCTCTGGATAGAGTGCTGTGGCATCAAAGCTCACAGCAACCTCTAACTCCTGGGATCAAGCGAGTCTCTTGCCTCAGCCTCCCAAATAGCTGGGTCCACAGGTGCCCACCACAATGCCTGGCTATTTTTTGGTTGTAGCCGTTATTGTTGTTTGACAGCCCGGGCTGGATTCAAACCCGCCACCTTAGGTGTATGTGGCTGGCACCTTAGCCACTTAAGCTATAGGTGCTGAGCCATAGCCATCATTCTTTATAGCTCTCTATAACCTTAAACTCCTGGGCTCAAGTGATCTTCTTGCCCCAGCTTCCCAAGTAGGTGGAACTACAGACTCGTACCACCATAGTCAGCTAATTTTTTCTATTTTTTATAGAGACAAGGTCTCACTGTATTGCCCAGGCTAGTCTCGAACTCCTGGCCTGAAGTGATCCTCCCATCTTGGCCTCCCAAAGTTCTAGGATTATAGGCATGAGCCATCACATCTGGCCTAAGAAGTAGTTCTTTGAGTTGGATATATGTTTTTAGAAATATCTTCTTTTTTCTATTAATAGACATATTTATGAATTATTGTCTGTCTTTAGAGTCACATGAAACAAGTTATAGTTTTATCCAACATAGCATAATTATTTTGAATGTTCATTTCTCTTAAAAATAATTTTGTATTAACGATGAGATGACATTATTTCACATTTGTATCACTGACTTTAGATTTGGCCTACTGTTTTGCTTTGCATGCTTTATTTTCCAGTTCATGTTAGACTGGTTTAGTTGACATGTTGGTATTGATATTATTCTGAGGTATTTGTTTTTTTCTAGAGAGGCCTTGTTGGCTGAAATGGGAGTTGCCATTCGAGAAGATGGAGGAACCCTAGGGGTTTTCTCACCTAAAAAGGTAAGGAAGCGTGCTGTGAAACCCAACCAAAGGGAGACTTTTTTTTGTCTTAGTCACTGGGGTACTTTGTGTCTTTTGAGGGGACCCCTTTGACCTCCTTTTTTTTTTTTTGCTTTTGAGACCTAGTATCACTTTGTCATCCTTTTTTTTTGGCTGGGACTGGGCTTGAACCCGCCACCCCCAGCATATGGGACTGCTGCCCTACCCTTTTGAGCCCCACTTTGTCGTCCTTGGTAGGGTGTCTTGGTGTTACAGCTCACAGCAACCTCACACTCGGGCTCACGTGATCCTCTTGCCTCAGCCTCCCAAGTAGCTGGGACTCTGGGCACCCACCACAACACCTGGCTATTTTTAGAGACAAGGTCTCACTCCTGCTCAGGCTAGTCTTGAAGCCGTGAGCTCAGGCGGTCCTCCCGCCTTGGCTTCCCAGAGGGCTGGGATTACAGGTGTGAGCCACCAAGCCCAGCCTCCCTCCATTTTTTCTTTTAAACAAATCTTGGTACTTGGCTTATTTCAGATATTTCTGTTTTCACCTTACAGTGTCTGGTCTTACAGTATTAAGGCAGCATATTTCTAAAATGCTCATCCTGTTTACTGTTTACTAAACAAAAAACTTAAGGCAGTAAATGTGTAACTTTGGGCCATCATTCAGTTTGTTTAGTCATCTCTGTTGTCGTCGTAAATGCCCAACCTAACCCAGTGTTCCTCGCTTCAGTTTTGGCTTCTCTTTCTATGTGGTTTTCTCACAGAAGTCATTTATCTTGCTTTATAACTTTTTGGAACCAATTTCAGCTGTTCAGGTTTGTGTAGAATGTGCTGCTTCCATTATAGACATCCAGTGTACTGAGCACAGCAGTTCCTTTCCTTACCCTTCTAGACACCTCTGCTCCCATCTCAGTTTATTGTTTAAAAAATGACTCCAGTAGTTGCCCTCCTACTTACATAGTTGTAGTTGTAAAGTAGTTAGATGCCTTTTAGCTATTTAGAATAGTAAGGTTTTCTTGTTTTGTTTTGTTTTTTAGGTTGCAAGTTGGTTATTGTGGGATACTAGGAAACTATTAGTAGATGATTATTTTGTGTGTTTATTTACATGACATAATAGAACGTATATTGATATATAAAGCACGTATTTTATACCACTATTAGATGGTCCTTCATTTCGAATGGCGTCAGATTGGCCACTTGATGTTGGAGACTTAAACATCTGCATGTACTAAGTTCTGATGGCCTCTCTAGATTAGGATATAAGGGATGATGAGTTTTGAATTGTTAACTTTTATTTTATGTAGTTTGAAACATTCCTGTGGTTGTTGGTAGAAATATTTTGGTTAGTTGGCTGTATAACATTTTTATAAATTCTATTGTGATAATTTCAACCGAAAAGATTAATTCAAAGACCTCATAGATATATATTGTAATACTTGTACACTAAGTATTTTTTATGTTTATATTATGAAAGGGCAGTGATTTTTAGTTTAATCATTTTTCCTTCAGTAAGACATGTATTTTACTAGATGTTACCTATGATTGTAGAGAATTTAGCAATTATAGTTTTGATAGAATTTAAATTGTGCTTCGGTATATAAAGGTATTTCATAGCATCTTTTAGTGTTGAAAATTGTTGAGAATTTTTTTATAAGAACTTGTGAAAATATGATACGTTACACGAATCATAAATGACTTGAACATAAACAGCGTGTAATTCCAAACTGAGACCTCTACTTCCAAAGCTTTTTCTTACTTTAATTTTTCCCATCGTGCTTTAACTTCCTAGGCTTCCTTAGGAGAGGAAGGGGTATACCAGTGACCACATCCAAACAGTTTTAGAACCTGTTCCTGAGGTCACCATTAAGATGGACACTAGAGTGTTGCCCACAGAGGGTTTTGATTTTCTCAAACTAGTCAAGTTCATAAATTGCAGAGGTGGATGCTAGTTGAGAAGATGTCGAGGTTTTTCTAATTTCTTTTCAGTCTTCCTTTGTAGTACTTTTTCTTAACCCCTCATCTGACTTTTGTTTCATTTTTCCATATTTGCTGGCACTATCTTGAGTAGATTTTGGCCCCGAGACCGTGTGACTTATTTTTGGATTCCAGTGGGGTATTTTCACCAAAGAAGGTTGGTTTTTAAAAAAGATTTTAGAAATATTAGAGTTAGATGAAGAAGATTTTAGAAGATGTTTATATTATTGAGTATCAGTCATTTTAATTTCTTTTAATTAGATAAAGACTAATAAACTCAAGGCAATAACTGGGACCCTGGAAGAACTCATGGAAATTGTAGAGGAAAAATGGCAGAGGGTGTGGGGACACTGTAATAAAAGTAAATGAAAAATTAAATCTTTCTTGAGCCCAGGCATTTATAAAAATGTAACTGATACAGAGAATCAGCCTATCTTAATTTTTTCCTTTGTGCTTTGACTTTGTCAAGAATTGGATCTTGTTCTTTATCATATTTTATTTTTATTTATTTATTTTTGAGACAGAGTCTCACTATGTTGCCCTTGGTAGAATGCCCGTGGCGTCACAGCTCACAGCAGCCTCCAACTCTTGAGCTTAAGCAATTCTCTTGTCTCAGCCTCCCAAGTAGCTGGGACTACAGACGCCCACCACAACGCCCAGCTTTTTTGGTTGTAGTTGTCATTGTTATTTGGCAGGCTTGGCCTGGGCTCGAACCCACCACCATTGGTGTATGTGACTGGCACCCTAGCCACTAAGCTACAGGCGCTGAGCCATCATATTTTATATTTAAATGGAACGTATTGGTGAAGGTTAGGGTGGCCTGAAGAGAACGTTTTCTCTTTGCTGTGGATTTGCAACTGGAAATGAAAGAGATCCCTCTTCAGGCAGTGTAGGGAGTTGGAGAAGCCTGACCTTGCGTAAGCCCCTGTTGTTGCCGCAGTCCTCTCACAGTGCCTTGCTCTGAATTCCTAATCTGTAACCTTTTTCAGACCCCACACCTTGTTAACCTCAATGAAGACCCACTGATGTCTGAGTGCCTGCTTTATTACATCAAAGATGGAATCACAAGGTACATTTCTTGTTTTGGTTACTTAATTTTTTTTTTTTTTTAGTCAGCTGAGCTAGGTAATGCACTTTTTCTCTATAATACCTTCAATAAATTTTTTCCTTTTAACAACTTAAACGAATTCATTAGGAAGTTTATTTTACTGGTGTCTTTTTATATTGCTGTATGAGTTATGTTGGCAAATCATTTCTTCCTTGGCTTTTTATTCTGATGTAGGGAGGCTGTTCATATATGAGAACAGGATTTGCAGTTGAAAGCTTCTGAGACAAAAAGGCAATACCTTTTTTGTACATACCAAAGGATATTCTTTGAGAAAAAGAGGTCCATTGGGAGAAAGAGGCCCATTGTTTATGGTGGTTTTGTGTCTGAGTTTCCCTGGGAAATGCTTTCTCCCGTGTTCAGGGTTGGCCAGGCAGATGCTGAGCGGCGCCAGGACATAGTGCTGAGTGGGGCTCACATTAAAGAGGAGCATTGTGTCTTCCGCAGCGAGAGGAGCAACAGTGGGGAAGGTAAGAGGCCCTGGGTTGAGCTTGTCCAACCACCTGTTCATTTGTATATGAGAAATCCTTCGCTCTTGGTATTCCTTGTCTCTGTCAGTGGTACTTTTCTCGTACAATCTGATATTGAAAAATGAAGAAACCTGGGCTGCTTATAAATGCAGGGATGACATAGCTACTTTACATGAAAATAGCCTGGACAAAAGGAGCCCTTTTGTTGCTGCCAACAACCGAGCAGGACATAGGCAATTAGGCTTGGTCTTGAATGTTAATTATTTAATAGAAAAGAAAGAAAAGAACAAATATCCTTGGTAATAGGCGATTCAAAGCACCCCAAGTCTAAACCCAGTAGAGCTGATTTTTATTTGAAAGGGAAGGAAAAGTAAATCTTGATCTTTGCCCAGATTATTAATGACACAATAATCTAATGGTCTAATTATACTTGTGCAGTATAATTAATTCCTTCCTTAATCAAAATATTAGCGTTATCAGTTTCTTGTTATTATTTGTATCTCATACTTGAGAGATTTCTGATGGTTTATAGTTTATTGGTCCAGTTGTCAGATATCACCAAAGCTAGTAATTATGACCTCCTTCTGAGGTTTCTCAAGTTCAGTTAAATATTTCTATCTGAGCCATAATCCCAAATAGCCTCTTATATTGGAACTGATGCCTAAAAATGTATTGCTTCAGTCACGTGATTGACTGAAGGAATTTAGTCCAGTTACCATGAATCCTGATTTTCAGCTGCTTTCCGTTATTTGACTCCAGTGATTTGTGATAATAACATTAGTTTGTGTTCCTCTTAGTTATCGTGACTCTAGAGCCCTGTGAGCGCTCAGAAACCTATGTAAATGGCAAGAGGGTGGCCCAGCCTGTTCAGCTGCGCTCAGGTGAGACTGGGAGAGCTTGGTGTCTTCAGCAGTGTACACGGGTCTTGTGTGTTCTTAACTCTTTGTTTAGAGCCTGAAGTGAGAGTCAGCATTAGCATTTTTGTTCTTAGAAAACATCTAGAGTTGTCTTTTTTGCATTAGGGAGAATAAGGTTACTACACCAGATACCACAGATTTAAAAATGATTCCTTAATCTTTTTCTGTGTTTTGTGCTAGGAAACCGTATCATTATGGGTAAAAACCATGTTTTCCGTTTTAACCACCCTGAGCAAGCACGAGCTGAGCGGGAAAAGACTCCTTCTGCTGAAACCCCCTCTGAGCCTGTGGACTGGACTTTTGCTCAGAGAGAGCTTCTGGAAAAACAAGGAATTGATATGAAACAAGAGATGGAGAAAAGGTAATAACACAAATATTCTGTGACCCACATGCCGCCTCTTGTTGTAAACAGACAGCAGCTTTCGTGAAGTGGCTCAGTGACTTCACACAGTTTATTCTTTTTTTTCTTCTTCTTCTTCTAGGCTACAGGAAATGGAAATATTATACAAAAAAGAGAAGGAAGAAGCAGATCTTCTTTTGGAGCAGCAGAGACTGGTAGGAGTCCATCCTGAATCTGCTAACTGTTAGGAAGGGCAGCTTATTCCCATACCTTCCCTGGTGCACAGATGGTCACACCGAAATCGCTTCTCTCACTGATACCACACACTATTCTTTCATTTCCTTAATGGAGAAAGAACTTAAGTTTCTTGGCAGCCTTAGCTGGAAAAACTGTCCATAGAGGTTCTATTTTGTCCCTTTTGTGTCTTAAGGTCAAATCCTCACACCCAATACCTTTTGAGAAAATAGAGCTTTTCTGGTAGCCTTTGCCTCTTGATAAGTGGTTTTGGAATTTATATCAGTGATGATTCTTTTAATGATAATTACTCTGGATATTGAATTTGGTGGGAGTTTGCCTTGGTTTTGTTTCTGATCACCTGATAGTACTAATTCTCTGCTCTTGGGCTGACTTGGGGATTGTTCTTGTGCTGGGGGATTTTTTTTAAGTTAAACTGTGTCTAAAAGTGTTGCTGCACAGTTGCATGTGTTAATCCTTCTCTGTTCCCCTGCATGGAGTCTGAATTCTCAACAAGGTTCTCAGTGGCATGTGTGGGGGCATTGGGAGCAGGGGCTGCATAGCCAGCGCAGAGGGAGAGGAGGCCTGCTTCTTCTGGGTCAAGAGGGGGTTTGGGTGAGCAGCTGGAAGGGTCAGTGTAAGGTCCCGCTATGATTCTCATGGCTTTAGCATATTATGATGTTAATTGATTTCCCACATTTATTAGAAACTGAATCTCATGAATTAGTAAGTTGATCTGTTAGGTTTTTATTTTTAAAACCCCCAATTTTGTTGTAAGAGGCTTCTCAACATTCAAATTGATACCTAAGAAAAAATAACTGGCTTGGCGCCCGTAGTTCAGTGAGTAGGGCAGCGGCCACATACACTGAGGCTGGCAGATTTGAACCTGGCCTGGGCCTGCTAAACAATGACAACTGCAACCAAAAAATAGCCAGGTGTTGTGGTGGGTGCCTGTAGTACCAGCTACTCAGGAGGCTGAGGCAAGAGAATCGTTTAAGCCCAAGAGTTTAAGGTTGCTGTGAACTAGGACGCCATGGCACTCTACCGTGGGCGACATAGTAAGACTCTCTCAAAAAAAGAAAACCGTAACTAACCTTTGGGTACTGTGGAAGTGGTTTAGGAAGTTCCCATCTTTTAAGATTCATGGTCTTCTTTTAAGATAAGGAGGCCTTAAGGGCCGGGCAAGATAAGGAGGCATTAAAGAGAAAGCTGGGGCACTGGCTCCTTCCCTCAGGATAAAATACAGCATGTGAATGAACTGCAGTCTTTGGGTCATACTCTGTGTTTTGGAGAAGGGGCTATTTTTAAATGGACCAGAAAAGCCAAGGACTTGAGCAAAAAAAGCAGCCTTTTCCAGGTTAGCTCAGTTCTCAGGCTCAGCTGTGGGTTCAACCAGTTAGTTTGTTACCTTGGAAATTACAGTTAAGCCCCCAAAAGAATAGATAGTAAAAATAAATCAAGTGTTTGGGGCAGGATAATAGCAGTGTTATAGAAAGTCTCTTTAGGAGGCCTGCTTGGCATTTAGTTTTTAATGAAAACAGAAAGATCTAGCCACATAGAGATTTCAGGCTTGAGAGGTTTGTGACACATGAAGGAGCCTTTTATCTTAATAATGTAGTATGATCTAATAACATGCTTCTGATAGTCTGAGATCAAACAAGGACAGGTGTAATTAAGCTCTATTTATTATTAACAGTTAGTGCCTTCTATTTGTATAGTGCTTTATAATTTACAAGGAGCTTTAACATCTGTCATTTGATCCCTGAAACAATTCTCTTAACAGGTGTGTATATAAGTTTATAGCTGAGGAAACCAAGACTTAAAAAATAGGGTCTTACTTGCTATTAAACACCTGATATCATGGGTCCAAGGCTTAACCTTGCCTTTTCTGACTGGCCTCAGTGTTGGTCGGTTGTTACAGCATTGCTTCTCAGCCACCTCAGTCTTGGTAACACGTAGACGCTGAATGTGCAGGTCTGGACGGGGATGTGAGAGTCAGCATTTCTAACGCTCCCGGGGTGCCAGTGCTGCTAGTCTGGGGACCATATTCAAGTACCTAGGTGTAACAGATAAAGGATATCTGGTATTGTCTAAAACAGGAGTTGGTGATGGTTCTGTGTCCTAAAAAGTGAATGTCTCTAAGACATACTTAGTTTCTATGGACATATAACCTCTAGATAATCAGATTCTGATGGTCGTTTGCTCTGTGTATCTGAAAGCAAACAGGATTTCAAGAGCAACTCCTTAAAGGAAGGAAGTTGCTTTCCTCCTCAAAAGTCAGCTTCCTATTACACTTAAATTTCTTGACCTCAAGAGTAACTGGTTTCTAATCCTTTAGACTGAAGAGTTATGTCAGGAGCAGTACTGAATGGAAAATAACTTTTTATTATACTGCATTGGTCAACCCACATTGACCCATTTTAAGATAAGGAGGCCTTATCTTAAATTTCTAATGCACCCTGTGAACAATCATTGAGGAAATAGAAAGCAGTTCTTTTTCAGTAAATATTTAATATTTATTTTATGTAATTATTTTTACCTAATGACACCTTAAAAAATGGATTTTACAGTAAGCTGTAATAGTGCTACTGTACTCTCTAGTCTGGGCAACAGAGCAAGATGCTGTCTCTTTAAAAAAAAAAACAAAAACAACAGAATTCAGGCTCACAAGTTTTCTAGTATGCTAGCTCCTCACATGCAGCACACTGTGTTGTTGGGGATTCCCTTCCAGTTAGTACTCTGTTACTATATACCTGGTCCTTTCTGTGCTTGCTTTTTTATACACTGTCTTAGGTATCTTCTCTCTTTTACATAAACTCTCAGTCTCTTTAGGGGGCTTACTTTGCCTCTGGGAATTTAATGAAAACAGAAGGATCATTTAGTGACATGTGAATTGGCCAGACCTCAGTAGTTTTTCCTTCCCTGTAATAAATGAATCTAAATATCTGAAAATCTTTTTTTTTTTTTTAACATAAGATAGGATTTACATGTTGGCACATAAGCTTGGCATACAAAGGTATGCACATCATGGTTAGCATGTGATAGGTTGTAAAGAGAACGCATTTTACAATGTCAATATGGTACTATTTTAGAAAGAAGGAAAATTATGGCCACTTGATTTGAGTTCTTTTTAGATTTATGTACACTCTTTCATTTATTTGTTTTATTTTAGAGTTTAAAGGTATATTCTCTCAAGTATGATATTAAACCAATGATTAATAAATTACAATGTCTATAATTTCATCTTTAAGTTTAAGAGAAAAAGATAACCAGGAAAAAAAGTAATAGTTGCCAGTTATATGGGAAGAATCAAAGGGAATTTATTTATATTCTATAAAACTCAGTTTAAATAATTACAGTTGTAAATATTTAAATTGCATGTGAACTTTATGGCCACCCTGTATATATTTAGAGGAGAAAAGATCTTTTCAGGAATCAGGCATACTTTTTTCTCTAATATTTATCACTAATTGTTTATCACTTAAGATTAGCCATTCTGATTTTTAAAACTAAAAATGAAAAGAAAATATGGTCTAGAGTCTACAAATTTAGTTTTATTTGCTTTTTGTTGCTAAGTTTTCAAATAGATAGATGTTATAAGTGGGCTCAGTATCCATTTATAGGTGAATAGAAATTATGTAAATCAGAAGCAACATCTTTAAATTCAGTGGCCAAATGATCGTCATTATTTTATTTTTTTATTTACTGGGCAACTTTCTAAGTCAGAATATTATCATTATTGTTGAGGGCTATTGTTTTGTTCCCTTGAAAGCGACTATACATCCAAATCTCAGGTCTAGAAAGCAAGATATTATTTACCAGTTTCAATTCCTTTAAAACTCCTCCTAGAGATGTTTTTGATAATCACAGACAAAAGAGAATATTAAGTAACAATATTTTCGTTTACTAGACTGTCTTGAACTACTTATCTAGTGAACATTTTCTTTTCCCAGTAACTTATTTCCTGAATATTCTTTCTAATCCTGTCCTTTATATCGAATTCTAAATCCAACATTGCTTTAATAAATATTCATGGTATCAAGCTTATGTTAATTAAGAATAATTGGATGTTATTCAAATAGCCCTTGAAACTACATTTCTGTGAAAAAATTTTTTTGATTTGCTTTTTTTAGAGACAGAGTCTCACTTTATTGCCCTTGGTAGGGTGCTGTGGCATCACAGCTCACAGCAACTTCCAGCTCTTGGGCTAAAGGCGATTCTCTTGCCTCAGCCTCCCCAGTAGCTGGAACTACAGGTGCCCACCACAACGTCCATCTATTTTTTGTTGCAGTTTGGCCAGTCTGGGTTCAAACCTGCCACCCTCTGTATATGGGGCCAGTGCCCTACTTACTGAGTCACAGGTGCCTGCCCTGTTTTTTGTTTTTTTTAAGACCGAGTTTCACTCTGTTGCCCCAGGCGAGGGTGTCCTGGCATCAGCCTAGCTCACAGCAGCCTCAGACTTCTGGGCTCAGGCTCCCCGATAGCTGGGACTACAGGCATGTGCAGTAATACCCAGCTAAGTTTTTCTATTTTTAGTAGAGATGCGGGTCTTGCTTTTGCTCAGACTGGTCTCCAGCTCCTGAGTTCAAGGGATCCCTCCTGTCTAGGAGTGGAAATTAATTTGGGTTAGGCCTCTCAAAGTGTTAAGATTACAGATGTGAACTGCAGCGCCTGGCTCTAAGTAAAGTTTTTTAAAAAAGGTAATAGTGCACAGACAGCTGGAAAGATAAGAGTTGAGACGCATTTTAAAGTGTACCTATACCCATTTTTCATAAGCAGAATATAGTCTTTGTGTTTATTGGAAGAGTGACAAGTATTTGACAAGTGTTAGTCTTCAAATGGCTAGAACAGTTATAAGCTTCTAGATAGAAGACATCTTTAAACTGAATTTGTTAAAATATTACTTGGGGAATTTTAAATTATTTGCCTAGCTTAATTTTTGTTCTGGTAATTTATTTCACAAAATTTTGGAGGTTAGGTA